CGGTGAATTTTTATTTTCACACTGTGTGGATGTTAACAGCTTTTGGACATTTGTTATAAAAAACTTATTTTATGTGTTTGAGTGTTTGCCTGCATATGTGTGTGTGTGTGCACCATGTGTGGCGGTGCCTGCAGAAGCCAGACGAGGGCATCTGAACCCTAGGATGGGAGTTACAGACATGTATGAGGAGCACTTTATGTTTTTTCCAGGGTTTCTGTAGGCAGAGTTCTCCTATCCTGGGAGTTGCTTCCAAATTACTACTCAGAGGTTAATACTATTTATAAATGTTTGGCCAATCACTCTGGCTTCTTACTAGATAACTCTTACACTTAATTAACTTTAATTAACTCATATTTCTTATCTAGGCTTCACAATTTCATATTTTTTTTTTCTTTCTTTCCCCCTTTTTTTTTTTTTTTTTTTTTTTTTTTTTTTTTTTTATGTCCTGCTCCCTCAGTTGCTGGCTGGTATCTCTTGACTCTGTTCCTCCTCCCAGAGTCCTCTGTGTCTGGCTGCCCTGCCTATACTTCCTGTCTGGCTACCGGCCTGTCAGCCTCTTATTAACCAATGAGAGTAATACATATTCACAGTGTACAGAAGGATTATTCCACAGCATTTCCCCTTTCTGTCTAATTAAAAAGGAAAGTTTTTTTTTAACGTAGTAAAGCTATATATATAACAACAGTTATTAAGTAAGAATTGCAGTTACAAGCTAGCTCAGTCAGTAGAGCATGAGACTCTTAACCTCAGGGTTGTGGGTTTGAGCCCCATGTTTCAGGGTCAGATGAAGCATTACTCTAATTGTTCTTTAACAATAAAAATTCAGGAGTCAGATATTGGGGTAAAAGCTTGAAAGATCAGAGAAGCACAGAGGCCACCGGTCCTCCCTACCTGCCCCTTCCTTCCTTCAAGCAGAGAGCCTTTCCAGCTCGCCTTGCTACTTCCTGGCCTATCTATCCTCAGTCTTCCAAAACCTCTGTGGCTAATTTTGGTCAGCTAGTGGCTAGCTCCACCCTCTGACTTCAAGCAAACTTATTTGTCAGGACATGATCAAAATGCCACACAACAGTCTTCCCTGTGTCTCCCTGGCTGTCCTGGCACTCCCTCTGGAGAGCAGGCTGGCCTCGGACTCACAGAGATCCCCCTGCCTCCGCCTCTGTAGTCCTGAGCTGAAAGGTGTGCGCCACCATACCTGGTGCAAGAAGCACCTAGCTGTGGAGATGTCTTTCTGGTCCCCATGTTTCACTTTTGAAAGAGCTGTCTCGTGGCAGAGCTTCCTGCAGCTGTTTGTCCCCAAATAAACACAGATGCTAAATTAGTTATAAAACTGTTGGCCAGTGGCTAGGGCTTCTTATTGGCTAGCTCTGTCTTATTTATTAAGCCACTCTGTCAATCTGTGTGTTGCCAGGAGGCTGTGGTAAGCCTGGTAATGCCCCATCATGTTGTTACTCCTCTTGTGGTTATCCTTGACTGTGTAGCAAGTTCGAGGCCAGCCTGGGCTACATCTCAGTTAAAACAGAAAGAGACAGAGAGGGAGGGAGGGAGGGAGGAACGAATGAAGAAATGAAATGGGGACCGTGGGGATGACTCAGTAGTTTAAGTTCTCAGAGTGCAAACAAGAGGACTGGAGTCTGGAACCCCAGAACTCTTGTGAATGCTGAGAGGGTGTAGTAGGCCACCCTTAATCTCAGTCTCCTAAGGAATAAACAGGACACCGGGATCAAGCTGGGTAGCCACAGTAGCTGTACCTGTAAGCTGGGTGTTTGGTGGAGGATCTTTGATTGAGAGACCTTGCCTGAAAACATAAGGTAGAGTGTGGAGAAAGATTCCTGATATCAGCTTGGGTCTCCACACGCACACACGGTGTGCCTCCTGTGTGTGCAAATATGCATATTCCATAGTGCATCTCGCACACAAAGAAGAAAACAATACAATTCGATAAAATTTGTTTTTAATCATTGAGTTCTGAGTTCTTTGAAATTCTATATGCATGCCCCATATCAGACATGTAATTTCTTAATGGGGTTCTCTGTGACACAAAGGTTTTTAATTTAACTGAATTGAATTCATTTTTTGAGATAGGACCTCATGTATCCTTGAATGGCCTGGAACTCTCTGTGTAGACCAGATTGGTCTGGGACTCACAGAGATCTGATTGCCTCTGCCTCTCAAGTGCTGGGATTTGTAGGCAGTTTTTCCGTCCTGGCAGCCACTTCCCAGATAACCACTCAGAGGCTTAATATTAATTATAAATGCTTGGCTGGTAGCTCAGGCTTATTAGTAACTAGCGCTCACAGCTTAAATTAACCCATTTCTACTAATCTACGTATTGCCATGTAGCCCGTGGGCTTTACCTGTCCTCCTGGTGACTCCTCTGACTCCTCCCTTCTTCCCAGCATTCTCTCTGCCCCTAAAATCCTGCCTAGCTATTGGCCAATCAGCTTTTCCTTTTTGCTAACAATGAGAGCAGCACAATTTCATAGTATACAGAAGGACCATTCCACAGCAGGGATTAAAGCCTTGCCCCTTGAGTTTGGAGAGTTAGCATTTATGAGCTTACGCTGCTCTTCTAGAGGACCAAAGTTCAAACCCTAGCACCCCTATCAGGTGGCTCCCACTGCCTCTGAACCCAGCTCCGGGGACAGATGCCTCTGACTTGCACAGACACTTGCACTCACGCGTGCCCACCCCACTCACACATAAATATAATAACAAATACATCTTTAAAGGTGGCTACTACAATGCCCAGTGAGCTTTATTTTGTTTTATTTTTTTGATGTGGTGTTTTAAGAGTTACCATCTCCCTGCTGTCATCCCCCCCTGCCAAGAACACTGGCATAAAGGTTTTTAATTGTGACGATGTCGGCTCATCTATTTCTGTTTTGCCGTTTACATTTTTGGTGTCAGATCTAAGCCACCCCTAAGGCAAGTGTGTGAATATTTGCTACACCTGGGCCCTCTTCCAAGAGCCTTAGAGTTTCAGTATGTAACATGTAAGTCTTTGGTCCATTTTGATCTTATTTCTGTATGTGGTGTGGGGTTTTTTTCCGGCTTT